GCAGGACGCAGGGGGTTTCGCCTAGGACATCCTAGGACACAAGGTAGCTTGGCCCTGGTGGAGTGTGCAGACTTTAGGTCCGCAGCCTACGGCCCAGTTTTCTGAATTAATCCTGAGCCTCAGACATGTCCTACTCTCGGCCATGCTCGGCCAAGCAGTCTTCCAAGAACATCCAGACCCTCGGAAAGCAAAGCCGCTGGCAACAAGCCCTGGATGTGCTTCGTGGCCTCTCGAAGCAAGGCTCGTTGCCCAACGTTTTTACTTACTCAGCTGCGATTGGTGCTGCAGGGCGAGGCAAGCAGTGGAGGAGTGCTCTTGGTCTTCTCCTCTGCATGTGCCAGGAAGCTGTACTCCCGGACATGTTCATCTGGAGTGGCCTCCTTGCCACTTGTGAGCCCTTGGGCTGGGAGGGAAGTCTCCAACTCTTCACCTCAGCGGCCGCAGTCAGCACGGTCGTTTGTAACACGGCCATGAATGGCTTCTCCAGGCATTGGCCGCTTACTTTGGCCCTGGCAGCGACCATGAGCAGCTCAACTCTTCAGCCGGACATCACCACTCTGAACACCGCCCTCACGGCTCAAGTCAAAGGAGGCCGATGGCTGCAAGCAGTTGAGATGCTGTTACAGTCGCACACTTCCGGCGAGATTCCACCTGACATTGTCTCTGTGACTCTTGGCATGCACGTGTTAGACGCCCAGTAAAGCTGTGTCAGCATGTGGCAGTCGTCTGTCGAAGCGAGGAATGCGCTTCTTGCGATTTGCCCCAACGATCTGGACTGGCGCTGGGCTTTGCATCTGCTGACTTGGGCGAAAATGCGGCTCCTGCAGCCGGACGTGCCTGGGCACCATGATGCCCCTCGTAAACCCGTGAGTAGGAATTCTCGCCATTGAATATGTCGGCCCAAGGTCATCAGCTATTCCTCCAGCATCAGTGCCGCAGCGAACGATGCCCGCTGGACACTGGCTCTGGCCCTTTTGCGGGAAGCCATTATGAAGCAGCTTTGCTGCAGTGATGTCGGTTGAAACTAAGCAGGCCTTTGTTGCCAGACGGTTTCGACTCTGTGAGAGCGCGTCGTTTCTTCAGGATTCTAAACTTTGCTTGCGATGTTTCGCCCGGCGTTCTTTTGATGGCCTTTTCTTTCTTCGGGTTCGTTGACCTACGATCGAAAGCAGAAGTTACACAAGCAGCCGAAACCCAAGGCACACCTTCCCCGTTGCAGCCTCTTTGTGGAGCTCCTAAACGCCCTGAGAACAGAACCCCGGGGCCCTGAGAGTTGAAGCCCTGAAGAGGAATGTGCTCCCCGACCTCGTCATGCTCAATGCGGCCATCTCCGCTTGTGAGAAGGGCTTCCAGTGGGAGAGGGCGCTCGGGCTTCTAGCGGATGCTGAGCACAATTAGGTTCCACTGTAGGAGCAGCCAGGACAGGTAAAGCACGTACATGCCTGCATGTCTGCACATAAGCGCATACACACTTCGACAGCTTCGATTGCGTGTGTTCATTTGTACACGTGTTCAGATGTTGGGGGCAGGTTCGCGTGAGCCGGCATATTGATTCCGTTCGATTTCTTTCCACTGTACTCGCCGACTCATGCACCAGTCGATGTACATGTGTCTTTCTTTATGTAGCAACTGCTTTACCAGAACGTGTATGTGTGTGTGAACTGCTGGAAACATGCTACTTACGAAGCTACAATGTTGCCACTGAGCATATGGGCAGTTACCGTTCAAGTCAGCGTGTCGGCATTCGCAGGCTCAGGGTTGGAGTATATAATATGTATGATGTGGCTACAAGAAGGCCTAAGGCTTATGAGATTGCTCTAAGGATAGTACAGGGATTCCAAAACCCGACAGCCTATGATAAACCCCAAATCCCGACCTCCTGAATCCGTGCCTGCCCAGTGTGACTGCGCGAGTCGAGACCCCAAATCTTATTATGGGTACTACTCCATGGCACTGTTCTTCCCTCATCTGCTTGCGAGGAAGTAGATCGTGCGCACCTTCCGCCTGATGTCATCAGCTTTGGAAGCTCGGCTAAACCGATGATAGAGTGAAGGCATGAATAGGTAAACATATGTCAGAGATACCAGAATAGTAGTACCTGTATTACTATTACTAATAGTATCAGAAATAGTCCTCACCTCACACGACAATAAAGATGTTTATCTTAATGCTATTATTTCAGTTTTGTTCTCAATATGGGAGTTTCCGGAAATAAGGGGTACCTTATTTGGGGGTCCTTATATTAAGGATCCTATTATTTAGGATACTATATTAGGGTCCCCTATTTTCAGAAACCCCCGTATGAACAGAGTTCTTCACCGCCTCAAGGCCCCGAGGCCCTGGTCCCCAAGACTGGCACAGCGCAGCAGAAAAGAGTCACCTCTTTTCATATCACCTTTTCTTTCAATGGTAGCCCTTATAAGAACTCTATGGCTGATGCAGGGTTGGGTTCTGGGTTCGAAAAAGAAGTCGATGGCAACTTCGTAGGGCTCTCGACTCGATGGTCTCCCTCGTTTGAGTCTTTTGACAAGGAGCCGTGGCGACTGCCTGCGAGAAGGGCGGGCATTGGGAGGGTGCCTGGTCACTGCTGGCGACCATGCGGTCACGAAGCATCACACCGGATACAGCTCTCAATCTCGAAGCAGAACATATTCAGGTTCTCTTTACAGGGCTCGGGATGCGGTGTTTGATTGTGGGTCTGACTGTTGAGGGTCATGTTGCTGCGACGTGTCTGAACCCGAGCCATGGAAGAAACGCGGGCCAAGTGTTAGCTGTTATTTTTCGATCCGAGGTTGTCTGCAATGCCATCATCGGCGCTTTAGAGACACTAGGCCGCAACATCGTTGCATGGACTTGAAATCAAATAACGTTCCTAAAGCAGGGTTTCCGACCTTCTATAAAGCATGCTGATGCCTGTCTGGAGAATTCCTTAGTGTACAGTCTGAAACTTGTAGAGATTGACTGAAAACACGCGAGAAGACCCGGAAATTAGTGCCTGCAATAATACACGTTTTGTTAGGGCTCTACTTGCCAGGAAGGGGAGCTGCTGGAAGATGGCGCTGCAACTGCTGAACTCAATGAAGCAACGAGGGCCAACTCCTGATATGGCTGCGCCAGCTTTGTTTTTCGTAAAGTCTGATACCCTAACTCCAAACCCTGAGCCTTAAGCTCTAAACCCCAACCAAACCCCTAAACCCCAGGTAGGAGGGAACAAAAAGGTTTAAAACCCTCAGCCCTGAGCCCCGACCTCCAACCCCAAGTTAAGTGGGTAGTTGTCAAAATTATGGTCCCTTTTGGGGTACCCTAAATAATAGGTGCCGTAGTATAATAAGGACCCCAAAAGGGACCATAATTTTGACAACCACCCAAGTCACAGTCGAGTCAAGCAGGCCTCGTTTCATTCCTCGCCAGGTCTCGTATGTTGCCACCATGGCTGCCTGTGACAAGGCTCGGTTTGCTTCTGAGCTCATGGGTAGTTCTCTAAATTAGGGTCTCTCTTTTAGGTCCCCAGTATAGTACTATAAAAAGGATCCTAAAAGGGACCCTAATTTAGAAAACTACCCTCATGACTCCACTGGGCAGCGGAATAATTGGAATCTTGCTCGGTCGCATAGTATGCTATAGTCACAGTATGATAGTGTCCGGATTCAGGAAGTGGGCAAGCCATCTCCCCCTTCCCAGCTTCGATTGTCCTGTCTCGGTGTAATGATTCAGTCAATGCTACTTCGAGGGGATAGTGTTCAGAGAGTGCTGATCGAGGGGTGAGGGCTTGCACGTGCAGCTACCTCAGTGGGCACGTGCCTATTCAGGGTAGCCTGGTTCCACGGTCCAAGGCCCAACAATGGGAGCACGCCTTGCTCTTGCTGGATGAGGTCCGTCAATCCTCGCATGCTCCATGGCAATGCATTGGAGCGTGAACAGAACTCAGCATGTCATGATCGCGCATCATTTGCTGCACAATGCGAGCGCGATGGTGGTCATCTCACAGTGACAGCAGTTCATGATCGAACAACCCATCGAGGAGATGCGACAAGTCTATTCTAGACTTGTACGCAATCCGAGGTGCTAAGCAGGCATGGCACACTTTCGTGTAGGACCACCACTTCCCAGATTCATTTGTGAAGCTCCCTGTTTTGCACGGTCTTGGTGACTGCCCAGAATGCATCCGAAATTACCAGGTCTCCACTATCCAGGTTGCCTTCAACATCTGCATCAGTGCATGTGAGAGGAGTCGGGAGGCCAAAGCAGCCCTGGTGCTGCCTGGCTACAATAGTGGCCTTCATGATTAGAATAAGGAAAAACGGACAAATCTCGGTAACTTTTCAGGCCTCCATAATAATGTATTACAGCCCGAAACCTTGAAGGCCCCAGTTGACGTGATCGCACTTGCACGTCCACGAGCCTCCCTGGCGTACCTTGAACACGTGGCCCCCACCCCATCATCCTGCAAAGATAGGTCATATGCATGTATACTTTTTGTGTGTACATATGTATGCCTGCATATATATATATATAGAGAGAGAGAGAGCTCGATAGCGAGAGAGAGAGACCTGTATGTCTGCATGTGCGTGTCTGCGTACGTACACACACATACTCACACACCCACAAAGACTTAAGGTGAACTAACCGTTAGTACCTCAGAATAACTACTCAAAGATTTATTGGCTTAGAAACAAAATAATAAATACATAGTCCAATAACGACAACATGTGGAGTTATTCTCGAACTTCAACAATAACGACCCTCCAGGTTCCAAAACAAATGTGTCACCGGAGTCGCCCATCATTTCTCGTTGCACGGGTGTGGATATTCAAGGACTAAGATAAGAGCTGGTAGTTATACATTTGTCAGAATGTGAATAAACATAGGACCCAACAACTGACACATTTTCCTTATAATGTCCGATTGGCCTGAAATAATGCGAATGCCAATTGTTGAACAACACGGAGAACCGAAACCCAAAAACAAAAAAGCAAACAGTACCGGCGTTTTCTTTGGATCTTGCTTTTATGTGTTGGGGGTTGAAGCAATGAATGCAGACCAATACAAAGTTCTGACATTCCTTGCCGGTCTTTGGTTTTTGTTTGCTTTTTCGTCTTCGGTTGAGTGGTTGACGCCAGGCAAAAGCAATGCTTGAATCGCGAACCCACGCCAAAGGCCGGAATCGTCGGTGGGAGTTGTGTTTTCAAGGGGGTGGTCTGTCTTACGGGGATGGTATATATGTCTATATGTAGATAATAGGTATGTATATATATATATATATACACATGCGTGCGTGCATGTATGTATGCATGTATGCGTAAATGTACATGTATGTGTATATCTGCATGCATCTGTATATATGTATGTATGTTTGGTTTGTTTGTCTGTCCGTCTGTCTGTCCGTCTATCTGTCTGTCTGCATTGTACGTCTGCGCGTGTTTGCCTGGCACATACACTTCCCATGTGATGCTGGGTGGCTACAGTGTCTGTGGGTATTCATACACATTCGGATATACACATGTACAAGCCCAATTCCACTTTCCGATGTTTGATAGCTCGGCTAAACCTTAAACCTTTAAAGCGACTTCCACCAATTTCCGAGCTTGTTTGACAGCTCAGCTAAGCCCTAAACCCTTAACCCTTAACGAAGTCCACTAAGTTCCGAGGCTGTTTGACGAGATGTGCGACGCCGCCCTGCATCCGGATCGCCATAGCTTCTCGGCGACGGGCATTGAATTCTGTGTCCGCGCTGCTGCTTGGGATTTGGGGAGAAGGGTTTTGCAAAATAGACAATATGGTAGGAATAGCATAATGTAACATTAAAACCAGTAAAGCATGTGATAGAAAACGGTACATATCTTGTAATATATATATATATATATATATATTGTATGCTGCATTATACCATATATATATATATACACATACATACATATACATATACATATACATATACATATACATATGCGTACATATACATATACATATACCTATACCTATACATATACATATACATATACATACATACATACATACATACATACATACATATATATATATATATATATATATTAACATCACTCTTAATAGAACCTGCTTTAAAATATGTACACACACACATATATATATATATTACATTAGATACATACATCTCCCCGTGGAGTCCCACAGCAAAAATATCTACCGATATGTGTACATTACAAAATATATTTTATCCAAGGCTGCAGACACAGTTAAACCAAGCTTCACCTTCAACCTCCACTCCGCTCGATATTTCACATGCAGACTCAGCCTTCAAGCTCCCAAACCCTACAAGCCCCGAGCCCTGCACCCCAACCCCGACACCCTTACCTCGAACCACATGCCTCGCCTGGAGTGTCCGAGTGTGAGCGCCGAAACCCCTAAGCCCTAAAACCCCTAAACCCTCAACCCCCCAAAAACCGAAATCCCTAAGCCCTAAAACCCCTAAACCCTCAACCCCCCAAAAACCGAAACCCCTAAGCCCTAAAACCCCTAAGCTCCACGCGGACACCAGGTTTCAACTCGGCTCTTCGGGCCTGTCAGGTGGCCGGAGCCTGGCGGCGGGCCTTGCGTCTCCTCCTGAGAGCCGAGGCACACGGGTTTGGAGTTTAGACTTGCTTTTTGGGGGTTTAGGGTTTATAAGGTTGCTTTTTTGGGGTTTAGGGTTTATAAGGTTGCTTTTTGGGTTTAGGGTTTAGGGTTGCTTTTTGGGTTTAGGGTTTATGAGGTTGCTTTTTGGGTTTAGGGGTTTATAAGGTTGCTTTTTGGGTTAGGATTGCTGTTTGGGTTAGGGTTTAGGGCTAGGGCGGCTAGGGCTCCAGTTCAATAAAAATGTAATTCATTCTTAAGTTATTTTTGAAGGCACCACCCCATGCCCCACACTATTCCCCACAAACCGAAACAACCTAAGCTCGCCCAATTCCGGATTACATCACCTGAAAAATAGACTGGTAAAGTACTTTGACAGATATTGGGCTATGGATGGTTGACGGTGATGTAAGTACCCAAAGTGGGCGAGGTTATTCCCAACTTACGCTGGGGCTGGGGTGCCCACAAAAGTGTACATATACCGTTTTCCATTTTTTTCTTTGCGCCAGTGGTGCAGACACCCTAAACCACCCGAAAGACCTACCCCGATTAGACGCGAGATGTTGCAGGATGGCTCTGGCCAGGACCTGACGGGAATTGCAGCCGTGACTGGGGCCGCCCGGAGCGACAGATTCACGGTTTGAGAGGGCATTGTCTCGATGTTTATATCAACGCATGCCGCATGTGCATATATATATATATGTGTGTGTGTAAATATATATATATATATATATATATGTATATATATATATATGTATATATGCGTGCAATGCTCAAGCTTCTCTCTTCAAGCCTTCGCTTGATCTTTTATTGTAATTCCTCTCGCGCAATGGAGGGCAAGATGGACAAGCTCCGCAAGAAGTACCCTGAACATGTGCCGGTTATTTGTATGCACAGCAGGGATGCCAAGAAGCACCAAAAGCTCATTGTGCCCTTTCAGACAACAAGTGCAGCGTTCCAGACGATAGCTCGTGAAAAGTGCCCGTGGGCCGTGCAAGGCGGCGAAGTCTTGCTATGCAACAAGGGCAAGATTACCGATACCATGGAGGTGCCTGCACAGAAGACCCTGCAGCAGCTGGATTCTGAGTATAGGGCACCAGACGGAGGGATTTATTTCACGGTGGAAGCCGCGAAGGATGATGTGCAGGAAGCACCAACAGGGCCCCAAGAATTTAAGATGGACGAGAGTGTCCCGCAGCAGGAGAATGTCGCGCAGGGGAATGGCACGCAGGAGAATGGTGCGCAGGAGAAGAAGAAGAAAGCAAAGGCCAAGGCAAAGGCGGCGGTGTCAGAGGACCGCAAGGAGGACGACATCCTTGAAAGAACCAGGCGAATTCGCAAGAAGCACCCCGACCGTGTTCCAGTTCTCATCAATCAAGCAGCGGTGCCAGGATTGCCTGCGCTTGACAAGAAGCTTCTGCTTCCTGATTCCATGACCTGCAGAGACTTGCGAAAGATTCTTCCGAAACACATAGGCCTCGCAGACTTGGACCTGGATTGGAGCAAAGTGATCCTCCAGCTGGCGGGGCAGGCCATTGGGGAGGATATCGAGGAACACGAGCTTGTGTCAGCCGTCTACACGCGGTGCGTCGCCTCAGACGACGAAGGAATCATGCTCTCTTTGGAGCTACGGGGCCAGCTGGATGTAGGTGCTGGCGAAATGCCAGAGCTCCAGCCGCTCCAAGATGCACTCAGCTTCTCACCACCTTCAGCGGAGGAGCTGCGAGTTCTGGAGCTCCAGCTGCAGGAAGTCAACGTTGCTTTCGAAGAGGCCAAGAAGTCGCAGCAGCTCGTCACAGCCAAATTGGCTGAACAGGAGGAGCGCGCATGGGCAGCAGAAGAGAGGGCGCTGAAAGCCGACCAGGAGCTTGCGAAGTGGCTAGAACTATCTATAAGTCTATAACCACCCCCTTTAAAACAATTCTACCACATTTCATTCGCCCACATAAAGGATGTAAGGGTACGACCGCTTTGTCGAGTGTGAGTGCTAAAAAAAGGGTACGACCAGGAGCTTGCGATGCGATGCCAAGCGCAACGACAGGAAGCCGAGGCTTTCCAGAGTCAGGTCTCGCAGGCCCAAGGGGATCCAACACCCCATGAGCCCTAAAAACCCAAACCCATAAGCAATATTACTTTGTGTGTACACACACACACACACACACATATATATATATATATACATAATGTACATATATACATATGTACATATATACGTATGTTTGTGTGCGTACTATATATATATATATATACAATACACTTATATGTATGTATATATTATATGAATATACATACATATGTATCCTCTAACACCCAAAGTCCGGAAAACCTAAACTCGAAGTCCGAGTTGCGAGACGGCAAAACCTAAAACCGAGGTTACCCCGTGAACCCGACTCCCTAAGCCCTGAACCCAGAGAGAACAATCCCAGAACCCGAAAGGCCCAGGAGGCTCGCGAAGCTTTGGAGGCGCAGGTGATCAGCGGAAAGGAGTGGAACTTCAAGAGAAATCGTCAATGTGTTGGAAGGTATATGAGAGTATCAGAAAGCTGGGGAACCGTACTTCGGGCCCTGGTAGTAACAATATAATTACAGTTGCTTCTACTATTGTAAGTTGCACTTATTTCCATCTGTTTCCTGCTGTTATTGTGAGTATTCAATATGAAATAGGGGCACTTGATTGGTTTCGTGAAACCCCCAGGAGGAGATCGAAGCCCTGCGTCGGACGGTTGAGTCCTTGGAAGACGACCTTTACAGCGCACTCCAGAGCTCTAAGCGGGACGCCGGCATCATCGGGGAGCTGCAGAAGAGCATTAAGAAGTCGCAGGAGGCTTTGACGGTTGAAGCCCAGAAGAGCTGTGCTGCACAGGAGAAGCTTAGCAAGCTTGAAGAGAAGCTACAGGAAGCAGCTGACAAGGAAGTCTCGTCTATGAAGATGTATGCCGTCCAAGAGAAGGAGTATCAGGACAAAATTCGCGAGCTTGAAGATTCGCTTCGCAAAGTGTCCCAGAAGCTTGTCGAAGTTGAAGAGGAGAAAGCACAAGTTGCAAGAGAGGCCCAGAAGCAGCAGAACCCCCAGGAAGAAGTCAAGAAGTATAAGGACGCAGTCGTCATCTTGAAGGACACACTCTCCCGCAAAGAGGAAGAGATCACCAAGAAAGATGCCCAAGTCGAGAAAACCAAGGCGGTCCTCAAAGAAGTTGAGGCAGAGAACCGACGCTTGCAAGGCGAGCTCGAGACGGCAGGAACGAACAATCTTCGTCTCCAAGAGGAGGTCGGGAAGCTCAAGGCTTGTGAACAGGCGCCAAAGCTGAAGGCTGAGGTGGAGGAAGATTTCGTGAAGCTCGGCTGGGACAGTGAAGGTAAAGTGGAAGAAGTCACAGACTTCGGCTTCCAGAAGGTGGACAGTGCTTGAGCATCAGTTCGCCCCCCGAAATGGAAAGACGGCGGCAGTGGTGCATCGTATGTTTGTAGCTTGTAGTGTGCGATAGCATACTAGCAGCTTAGCATACTACCAGATCACAGTTTCGTAGACATGTCTCAGCAGGCACATCGCCGTTGTTGGTAGCCGGGTGACCGTGTGCAGTTCCTCTCCCACTTGCCAGCACCGTGCTCAAAGCATCGCAATTGGCTTTGGCAGCCTTCTGCATGTTCCGTAAATGACGAAGGCCACAGCCTTCTGCAGAACCAACTTTCCAGGAAGCAGATCTGATGCAGAACTTTCAATTCCTCAAGTTGCATGTGGCCAGCTTGGAGCTGCTGTCTCTTCTGCCAAAAGATTGAGAATTCCACAGTCACACGCTAATTCATGTACCTGCTGTTTCTTAGGACAGAGGCTGTTGTTTACTTTGCAACGAGCTCGGGCGATGTTCAAAGGCCCTGTGGCTTCAATCCTGGGTGAGTGTCTTTCTCGCACTTTGCCCGCATCGACTACCTTGAAATGACTTTGAAATCTACATGGTGCACACTTCAGTGCTGAAGCAGGCACCTGCCAAGAGGCTGGTACAGGCACCTCTGGCACCGCACGGAAAAAGAACACCCTTGCGTTCACGGGGAGGCGTGTCACGACCCTGCATGCCTCTGCCGCTGCTGCCAGTTTCTGCAAGATACCGAGTGTCGCGAATCCTGCTGTGTGCTACATGTGCTGCCTTGCGAAGAAATTTTTGTGCACCAGCAGAATTGCATGCACGTGTATACACTAAAGTGACTACAGTGCTAGTAGTAGCACCTGTTGCCTCTCTCGGCGCTCAGGCGTGCTTCGGGCGCGACCAGTGGTCACACATCCCGCAGCTTTTGCAGTGCGCAGATGCGGCTGCGTTGCGGTGGTCGATGAAAGAGCTTCTGCTGGATTCGCAGTTTAGTCCAGAAGTGCTTCGATGGTTTTCGTATTGGTTCTTGAGTGCTGCTGGCAGCTGAAGCCTTTGACCTTTGGGATTCCGTCAGAGTGAAAAATCCTTGTTCAGCCTGGTTTATTCCACTTTCAGTGGTACTGCCACGATTTCTGTTTCCGGAGCCCTGAATCCCCAAGCTTTCAAACCACTCAACTTCATCCAATGATTCAGACAATGCCGCAGGCCCTTTGCGATTTAAGTCGGATCGCTTAGATGCTTCAAGACCGTTTCCGGGGCAGCTCAGGCATTTGCGGCATCGGAACAGCTCTTGGATGAGTGACCCGTTTTGGGTGGTGGGAACAGCTCAGACAGTATGACAGGGGGGTTTCATTCCAGCCATGCAAGCATGTTTCTTGATTTGAGGCCTAGGGCTGCCTGCAGCATCGTTGTTTGGCTTTGGAATTGATTTCAGTATACAGCAAGCCATTGTTGAAACCGTGTGACAGTGTGACTACGATGTGCAGGCAGCCGGATATACAGCCTCCGATTTCCCTGCAAGGTCCGCAGCAGCAGAGAATATGATGTGGAAAAAAGCGCATGCCTCTCACTTGTCTTGTGATTTACTATGAGTACGACGACGATCACCATACTACTGTGGCACTGAGGTTGCTGTTGCGGCTGCTACTACCGCAACATCAACAAGAGAGACAACCTTACCTGTCCCGACTGACACTTATACTTTGCAAACACTCGTGCGGTTGCCTTTGTCTGCCTGCCTCATTATGATTACCATTCCTGGCGTCGATTCGATCATCATCATCATCTTTGTTTTGCTCTCGCCCGAACTACAATTTTCATTCTGGCTCTCGCTGCTACCGGTAAAGGCGGGTGGGGGTAGGATGGGAGCGGAAGAATGCATGCCGTGCGACCCAATTATCAGCCTAGGCTTCGTCAAAAGCATTGCAGCAATTCCGTTGGAATCCGTTGGCTGCAGCCCAGGACAGCCCAGGACGGAATGTGTTAGGTACCATGAGGCATTGAAGCTACTGTACCACGTAGAGTGCTGGAAGGGTAGGTTCCCTCATGGCAGCATGTCATGGGTGGTGGGGTGTGTTCCCGAATCACAGGAGCCGTTTTGGGGATCCCCTCGAACCCATTTATAGTCCTTTTCTGAAGGCCTAGATCTTTCAGGGAGCTCTAGTTTAGAGCAAACTTCATGCTTCGCTCCGGCAGAATTCCTGCAGGCGATTTGCTGCTTCTTTTCACCGACGGGCTCACAGACAACCTGCACTGGCACGAGGTGTGGTTTTTTGTGTTCGAGAGATGCAAGCAGACTTCGTCTTCTTTTCAGAGTACTGTGATCGCATTAAAGTCGTCACTGCTCTGCTCTCATGAGTGGTCAGTCTGCAGCAATCAGCCATTTTCTCTTGCTGCATGGTCCAGGTGGTGCGAAAGGTGGATGAGGTCCTGGAGCGGAAACTAGGCCCTGCGCTGCATGCACTTCCTGAGGTTTTTCGCCGTGGGTGTTTTGGGTTTCGGGCTTTGCCCCTATGGCCCCAAACCCTGCAGTAAACCCTAAACCCTAAACTTGGCATAGTCTTGCTTTTCGGGCGCACTAAATGGGGCCAAGGTTTTGCGTGGCTCTGTGCTGGCGTCTGAAGCCCATAATGTAGGGTTAAGCGTTTGGGGCTCAATGTAGGGGTCAGAAGAATATGAATCTACGCCCTCATAATCTCTAAAGTAGTTACAGTGAGCCTTCTTCTTATTGTTCAGGCACCTAGTCTAGCAGAATCGGCTTAGACCTGAAGGTGGGCTGTTTAGAAAATTCGACATTCAGCTGCTCCATCGTACTTGCTACTGGTCACACGGAGTCAAGTGTGGGTGGCCCATTGCACGCCCATGCGAATTCTTGAATGTGCAAGACCCTGAATGGTATTGCATGCAAGACACGCCGCAATGGCATCAGCACACACCGACAATGTTTCTAGCATAATACACCTGTAAGGCTCCTATATTACACCTAGGGTTAGTATGTACGGTCCCTTAGGCTTCGGCCCCTGCCCACCATGCTTCAAGAAGTGGCCCGCTGTCCCCATGCAGGCCAGGGCGGGCATGTACCTCCCGAAGATGCTGCTGGTCCACGAACTTCTAAGGTTTAGGGTTTAGGGCTAGGGGCGAGCTCCAATCAAGCCTGTGTAAAAAAGGGCTAGGGGTGAGGGTTGCATGGGACCTGGCCGGCACCTCAGTCCGTGCTGAAAAGGGCTTGTGGCCTACTTTTAGTCTGAGTTGGCGTGGATCGCTGCATCGCATCAACACTTTTCGTGACTTCTGATACTGACGACAGCAGCGCCGACGACGACGACCACTACAACCACAACTGCTGGGAATTATCCTGCTTCCACTGCTTCCTTTGCTGCAGCTACAACCACTGCTAGTACCACCACTGGGATTTTCAGGTTGAGTCGTGCCAATACACCTGCTATTTCTTCTAGTTCTGTTCCTACGTCGAGACAGATAATGTCGTTCTCATCCAAGCGTGACCTATCAGAGTGTTACGAGCTCAGCCTTCGAGACGAGGGGAAATCAAACCTGGCTCTTGCAACCAGTGCCAGAATTCTATTGTTTCTACTTCAGCAATTTCGCCGTGCGAATTTCTACAACTGTCACCGACATCCGTCTGGATGCGGCGAGCCTCGAAACCCTAAGTGAACTTTGGTGCAGCCTGTGTGCGTGATCACAGGGAGGCCAGACCCTATGTGTGAGACCAGCAGTGATTCACAGCCGCCCAGGTTGCACAAGCCCTAGCCGCAATGGCCGAAGTGCGCTCCCATGATACGCAGGCTGGGAGCATGCAAACGGTTTCAGGTTGGAGGCCGAGGAAACCCAGGAGGAAGCCCCCACCAAACATGTTCCCCGGTACCGGCCTAGCATTTAGCTTTCACTCTGCATCTATGGATTTGATGCACGCACGAAGTGCCAGTCGAATACAGGGTTGACGGTTGTGGCACCCTCGAGTTGGGAGGGCAGGGGAAGGCGCCAGAAACATATTCGTATGGCATACGACGGCCGCGATGCAGTCTAGTGACCGGAAGCCAGCAGCATGCTCATGGTCCTTCTGAACTGGTTCTGGTCTCCGGTCTGGCATATCAAGATAACAGGAAAGTGTCACTCCGTTATGGGTTCGTAAAGCACTGGCCCTCAGAGCTTTGACAATTTGTTGGAATAGGGTTGCAAAGGGCTTTTAATCTATACTTGCGACCCGAACTCCTGTCAGGCCAACACTCCTTTTGCGCAATCGGCTCGCAGAAACAGGCGCCGTCCGGCAGTTTCAGAACTTAAGGGACGCTTATGGACACTTATGTAGGCTGCAAGAAGAAACCCTCAACATCTGCCAGCCCGAAAGCTTGCAGACTTATGATGATTTTCTTGGAGACTCACAGCTAGCAGCTTCGAAGAAGAGTACTTCGCCCCAAGCTCGAATTTTCAGAAAGCTTCTCGACGCGATTCCGCCTTGCTCGTTATGCAGCATTGAAACAGTCAGTTTCCAGACATCCCACCCTGCAAACATCCTGCAACTGTAATAAATCGCAAAATGGAGATTTCATTACAGAAACGGAGGGCGGGCGTCGGCATTGGTTATGGCACAGGTATACGGTGTAGGAGCTTTCGGCCATAGAACTGGATCCACCACCCCGTACCTTTTCAGGTAACACTGCAGAGCATAGCTGTGGGGCAGGGCTGGCAGCGAAGTAATCATCCGAAGCAAGCCCCGGCTTAACTCACCAGCCCCTTGTTTTTCATGATGTCTGGATGGCTCCTCCCCGGCCGAGCCCCCAGAAGCCCAAAACTGAAATTCTCGCCTCCCGAAACACGACCCTGAACCCTCAACCCTACAAGCTGTCGGAGTTGGAGGTTGCATTTCCCGGGTGGCAAGGAAGACGACATCACTGTAGTGGCAGCCCCTCGGCTGACTCTGAGGGCCAACAAGCCAGATAAGCATGGCTTTAGAATGTACTCGTAGGCTTTTTTTTTGGTACGGCTCCGGAACTTTTACGGGCTTATGTCTCAAGAACGGCTTCAGGGT